GCGGGCTTTCTCGACTTGATTTTGGCCGATATCAAGCGGACGCGCGCCGACATTTTGTGCATGGTCGCGTTGGTCGAGTCGCCGTTCAAGCTCATTGCAGACGATATGGACGTGCCCGTGGTGACCTGCGCCAGCTCGCGCCTGGACGCTGCGATCCTTGCGTTCGTGGGGACACCCGAGTACGCCGAGTCGATCAACGCGGTTCGCGACCTCATGAACGAGCTCCAGAAGCTTCGGACCGGCGTCCGGTACTGCAGCATGCGCAAGTTGTACCCGGTCCTTGAAGACGACGCCAAGACGTGGCCCTCGACGATGGCGATGCTCCAGCGCTATTTCAAGCTGCGCCCGCTCCTCGCCGCGTCCGAATCGTACGCACACCTCTTGAGCCTTGTCACGGCGGCCGACGAGACGGCTCTTCAGACGCTTCTGAAGCATCTCTCGAACCTCGACTCGGTCGCCAAGCATCTCTTGCTCACCGAGCGGAGCAGCCTCTCGGACGTGCGACAGCTTCTGGACGGTCTTCTCCTCGACTACCCAAGCATGACACCCTTTCTCAACGCCGACAGCGTCGAGTCACCGGCCTTTGAGAAAGCGATCGTGAAGCTCCAGCAAGGTCTCAAGCTCCATGCGACCGACCGCGCCGCTTTACGCGACTTTGAGTCGCCTGCCGCGACGACGCCATCAAGCGCCGGAGAAACGGACTATGCGACACGGCTCCTCAAACGCGCCCGCCTCGACGGCGACGACAAGTACATTGAGATTCTCAAAGTGCTGCCGTCGACGGCCAACCGAATCCAACACGCGTTTGCAACCGCCAAGAACGATGTGCTGCCGTCCAACATTGAGACGCTTCTCTTCCTCCAGCTCAACCGGTCGTTCTGGCCCATGAGCGTGGTCGCCGACGTCGTTGCGACTGCCCATCGCGAAGCCGATGACGCTGCCGACGAGTGCAGTGACAACGAAGACGAGTGCAGTCATATTGTCTAACACCCCTCGCTCCACGTAATAGTCATTCCATGTTCGAGCAGTATTACAATCGCGGTGCGAAATATACAGGGGTAGGGTTGCGAACGCGTCGCTCGAAGCTGCGATCGCGTCTCGTCTTTCCGAGGACTAGAATCGCAGGTATAGGTGTATACCATCACAGTAGTCGACATTGTGAAATGAGCATTGCGTGCCGAACCCTTTTGACGTAGCTGCCGACATGCGAATGCTTTGGACAAAGCAGACAACCTGTGCACCCTAGACGCATGCTTGTTATCGTACTAGAATCGTGTTCCAGTCTACTAGTACTAGTACGTGTTCGCAATTTAGTTGCTGCGCGGCCGCGGCGCCACGTAATAGCGTTTGTTGGATCCGTACGCAACCAGGAATCCATTTCGACAATCCTACGCTGCCACGTAGAGGAATATTAACATGAAACAATCTATGTTCGTATGAAACTACTTTGTTACACGGGCAATCAACGCCTTGAAACATTTGCAGACGCCATTGGCTTTTTGGAACCGGCGAAGCGGGGCAGCCAGCGCCCGACGAGATCGATGCAGCCGCGGAGAGTACAAAAGCGCGCCGCCTCATGGGCTTTTGACAGGACGCAGCGTCGCAGGTCATGCTTCTCCAGCGCGCGATACAAACACCAAGTACACGCAGCGCGGCGAGGGCTTGAACGCCTTTACAGCCCTCGGCGGCGCGAGTGATCTCGATGCCTCAAAAACGAATTCGCATGTCCCTCTACGACCCGCTCTACCACCAGAAGCGCGCTGCAAAGCTCGCCGATGCCAAGTTGGCGGCCCAAGATGCCC